TGGCGGTTGCGAGAAGAGGGAACCAGGCTGAGTCTGAAACGGCGATGGCTGCTGTTGTTGTTGCGGCGTTTGCGAGAAGAGGGAACCAGGCTGAGTCTGAAACGGCGATTGCTGAGTCTGCTGTTGCTGTGGGGTAGAGAACAAATTGAACGACATTTGTGGATAAACCGACGGCGAATCGAATCTAGGGTTTTTATCGCCGGCGAGGATTTGGGAATTGAATCTAGGGTTTTTTTAATTGCCGGCGAGGATTTTTTTTCAGATGTGGAAAAAGATTTTGAAAAGCCCTCGTTATAACACGAATAAGGGGGAGTACACTGATAAATTACTTTTTAATAGCTTTACTTCACTTATTAATAAACATTGAGGCCTCTTTTGCAAATAAGCACTTATCATTTACATAATTACATTTTGAGAAAATTATCTAATCTACAACTTAAGAGAGAAAGACTAGTTATTTCTAATTTATCAAAACTTTGTTATTATTTATTTCTATTTTGTCTACTACCATCTCTATTTTGTCTATGTTTTTATCAATCACTGGTCGCCGTTATATCTACAACCACCGTCAATGTCTCTGTACACCACCATATGCAACCGTCATTTTCGTCCACTAGCTATCGTCGTTCACAACCATCGTGATTATTCTGGTCCACTGTATTCGTCACCCCCATCTTCATCTTTTCCGTCACCACCATCACCACCGTCTCGATTCTCGTCCACGACCACTACCTTCTTTTTCTTCTCTATCACTTTTTTTTTTTTATCTCTGTCACCATTAACAAAAAAGAGATATGGACAAAATAGTCTTTGGGATTGTGGTATTGAGGGAAAGAGATTTTGAATTGCGATAAATTGAAAAAATAATTTTTTAGAAAGTGGTACTCTTGATAATTTTCCCTTACATTTTTATCTATTTTTTTGTCGTCATTTTTATCCGTAAGCTATATTACGCCGGTTCATTTCGGAAAACGAAAAAAAAAATACAAAAAATGGACGAAAATGAGTAATTTTGATATTGGAAAATAATATTTAAATATTTACGGGATTAAAATTTTGAATAACAAAATGCATTCCGTAAGTAAAATCTTTTTCCAAATTTTTAAAAATTTGAGTAAAGATAAGAAAAAATTACTGATATACTTATAGAAATTTAATCACTAAACAAATAATTTGAATATTCTATTTTTTTTATCCGTACTCTTACTATATCAGCTTGAATCAAATTAACAATTTTAAACGTATTATTATTTTAACGAAATCAGAAGTACAACAGAAATTTTTGAAACGAGTACAGAATACGGATCGAGACGGAAAATCCGAAGTAGACAAGTAAATCCTAAATAGACAAATCTAATTCAGTAACAACATTTTCTTTTCTTTTTAGGTTATATCAAAATATATGCATATATCCGTAAATTCCTTAATCACACGAAATTAACTCTAATTTTACAGAAATCTTGACTTTCCATTTTCCATTTTCCATCCGTCGAATCAACAATTAGCAATTAAGCACAAATTACCTAAAATAAAAACGTTTTGAATTTCAG